CTGATGCCGCACTCTAGGGGCTGATCCTCCCTGAGTGCTATAGCAACGAGTGGTGCTTTTACCACTCCAATCTTGTGAGTGTAACACCTAAAGGGCACCTCTGTTTGCTTTATTTTATATATTTATAAGTGAATTACTACGCTGCACTAGGAGCTCTCTTTCTGTTTTTGTCTCCTTAATAGGTGTCAGAGTGATTTCCATGTTTGCAAGCATACCTACAGATTGTGCTTTGTTTTACCACAACCACTGTTTGATTTTAAATTATTTATATTTCCACTCTGTAAACACCTTATTTTATGTACACAGGATTACTTTCACTCTCTATAAGAGGTCCATAGTGAATACGATTTTTTTGTTGTTGCGCACCATCACTACTGTAAAAAATCTATTAATGTCAACCAGATTCCTATGCCATATAATAAAAATCTTATAAAATATTTCTTCATACTTACTAGCTCTAGATCTCCTATTTATAAAATTAAAGCTATTGCTCCATTCTTTAGGAGTAAAGGACACATTTAAATCCTTCTACCATTGTTTTACAAAATATGGGAGGGTTTTCTCTTTTTCTAAATTCAGCACTCTATAAATGTTGGATAATGAGTGTAGAACCGTTTTGTTTTTTTCTCACACAATATTTCAAAACCTGTAAGACTCAGAGCTCCAAGCTTACTATATTTAAATAATAAAGTTGAATATATCATAAATGTACACCAGGAGAGTTAGAGTTGTTAGGAAGAATTTAATATTTTGGTAGTATCCTACCTGTCTTCTTATTTAATATTTTCCCTAACCTTTAGGAATTTATCATGGCCCTAAATGCATTATGATTTATCCTTCTGCAAATGTCAAGGAGGTAATTGTGGATAACGGGTAATTGGGCAGTACAAACCTGATGGCCCGAATCTAACAAATTTATTTTGGATCTTCTTCCAGATTCTAAGCATAGGAGTAATAGTTGGATGGTCCGTAGGAATAACTATTTGACTTGTGATACTTAACCAAGGTAATGAGCACAAGAATTTTGGAAGAAACTCCTGTACTCTCTGAATTTAGAAAAATAATCAAATGTTTTACTAACCCTTTTTTCCATTCAATAATTCTTGATAGATGTACTACGTAATAATATTTATTAATATCAGAGATCGCCAGCCCCCCTTGTTTCTAGGTCTAGTTAAATATTGAAACACAAGCCTAGGGCTGCTATTACCCCAGAGAAATTTCTTAAAACAAAATGCATTTTTCCCAAAGAAAGCATTAGGTATATAAATAGGTAAGGTTTGAAGAATATATAAAATATTCCAAGAAATCACTGTAGCTTTACCAAACCAAAATAGTCTAAGTTTGCACAAACCTAACTATATTTGCTTAGTGAAGATATATCTAGAGTAAATATCAAATGTTTTAAATATTTCAGAGTAGGGGTAGCCCATTTAAATTGAAATGCATTTTTAAACTGTTCTATCTGAAGGTCATTCAAATTAAGACTTAATGGCTCAGATTTGGAGATATTTAACTAAAAGTTTGAAAGTCTGCTATATAGTTCTAGTTCTTTTACTACATAAAACAGGGAAGGAACTGGGTTAGAAAGTGTTAATAAAACATAATCTGAATAAACAGCTAATTAAATTAACCACACTTTCCCCCCACTTTTTTATTGATTTAAATTGTATTAAGAAAGGGTTCAATGGTTAATCTACACAGTAAAGGGGATAGGGGACAGCCATGCATCATGCCATTGTTTAAACTAATTAGTCCCAATAATATACCATTTACCTTAAATCTAGCTCTTGGCATAGTATATACAGCATTGATCCAATTCAGAAATATTCTCCCGATTCCAAGTCTATCCAACAAAGTAAAGAAAGAAAAAAATAGAAAGAAGGTTGAAAGCCTTTTGAGTGTTAATTACTAAAAGAATAGAGGAAGACTTATGTATCTTGGCATATATCATTAGATATAAGATTTTTACAGTATTATTTTTTTTCTCTAAGTAGTAAAAAGTCTGGTAGATGTATATATTTTTGATATAATACTTTTTTATAATCTCCTCTACAATTCTTTTATCATGTTTGTAATTAATTTTTTCTTTAAATTGAGCTAGAAAAGGAGCCATCTCATGAAGAAAAGCCTTGTTTTTTTTTAACCATGGCTGGTGATTTAAGTATTTGTTCAATTTCTTCTACAGTAATCAAATTGTTAAATTCTTCTCCTACCAATTCTGTGAAAACGACATCAAGATTTTTAAGTAGTTTGTAAGTAATCAATGATCTTTATATTAAAAGATCTAGTTGACTCCTCCGAAACGCCAGCATGAATATTATAAAGATCCTGGTAATACGTCTGCAGTATATAAATGATTTCTTCCAGTGTATTAATTGAACAATAAACTGAATAAACAAGGAAAAAAAACCCTAGGGGTATTCCAAAACTGGCAGTGAAATGAAAAATTGACAATCGAAGTAAAGGAAAAGAAAATATACCCACAAATCCTAAACAGTATGTGAATGGATTAGAGAAAAATAAATGGGATAGCAACAAAGTGCTATCTAAAATCGTTACTTGTCCTTGTTACACTAATAATGGAAGTAAATGTTTCTTAAATCTTGAAAAGGTAACAAAACGACACTATGTTAAAGAGTGCCCCCTCCCCTGGAAAAAAGTAGGGAGGATCAATTCTAAAGTAAAGGATAATGGCTAGAGGTACCTATTTGTACCTATAGGGGGAGTAAGCACAATCCTCTAAGTGTATAGGTACAGGCAGGGACCACAAACGACACAATAGTGATACTTAAATTATCAAAAGAAAAGGAGATAGACAATTAGAATCTATAACTCCAAACAGCAAAAGATCCTATCAGTGTCTTGAAATAAAAGCTGGAAAAAATGGAGCTAAGCTAGTAGAGGAATAATAAAAAAGAAAAGAAAATATTAAGTAAATCAATCCTCAAAGCTAGTCCCTAATCTCCTGAAAACACCTTCAAGGGTGTTCTAAGCTAGGTCTAACTCTTAAAAGTAACCTGCCTGATCTACCATCATCAATACTGATTAGGAATAACACTAAAAGAAAATAATAAGTGGGTCTAAAAACCCATAGTGCAGCAAAAAGTGTCCCTCAGTGCGTGAGTGAAAAGAAAAACGATAGACGGGCTATCGCCCGACGCGCGTTTCGGTGTGCCCCTGACGAAGGTGTGACTACACACCGAAACGTGCGTCGGGCGATAGCCCGTCTATCGTTTTTCTTTTCACTCACGCATGGTCAGAGGCCGGTCAGGAGGACTAGGCCCCGCAGAGGTTGAGCCCCAGTGCGGTTCCGGGTTCCCGGCGTCCAAGGAGCCTTTCAGGAGGTCCCGATGGTGGCGGTGAGAAGGGGGAAAACCTGACAGCCATAAGTAAAATAATACACAATAAATGCATTAAAACTTACTGTGCCTGCCAGGTAGAGGTAGGAAGAATCTTCTGTAGATGAGGTTCTTCTGCCACTTCCTGCTACCGCTTGGTTACTGCAGGGAATGTTCCTTACTGGCAATATTTTGCTTGCTACCCCTAGGGTCACTGCAAGTGGAAGGAGGTCGCGGGAGGCGTCACAGTGCAGCCGCACGAACACGTCGTCAGGCTAGGCTGGAGTTGCAGGCTGCTGGTTCGGGAACCGAATCTGAAACTGCCGAACGTTCCGGGAGTGAACGTGGAGGTAGGAGAACTGGCGAAAGTGTTGAAACTGCCGAACGTTCGGGAGACAAACGTGGAGGTAGGAGAACCGGCGAATGGGCTGAAACTGCCAAACGTTTGGGAGACGAATGTGGAGGTACTGATACTGCCGGCCGTTCGTTTCCCGAACGGGGAGGTAAGAAAACTGCCAAATGTTCGGGAGTTGAACGAGGAAGTAGCCATACTGCCGGCCGTTCGACTGCCGAACGGGGAGGCAGAAGAACTGCCGAACATTCAGTTTTTGTGTCCTCTCTTACAGGGAATGAAGGAGAAGTGGCTGCTGGTGACAGGAGTTCCAGAAAGCGGCCATTACAGGCAGGGTCCAGCGGAAAAAGGAGGAGCGGTAGGGCAGGCTTGGCAGCAGGTCCTGGGGACGCTCGAAGTGCTGTTGGTGGAGTGGGGACAGCTGCGGCACATTGCCCGGGTGAGTCGACCTCCGACGCCATTCCCCCTCCAGTTGCTGGGCCACGGTTACCCCAGTGGTGGGTCCTGGTGTTAGCATGGTTGGTGACGGCATGGTGGCAGGAGGCAGGCGGGGGACTGCTAGGGCACAGAGCAGATCAGAAGGGTATAGCGATATACGACACCACAGAGTCTCCCCAGTCAGCGTGCGGGAGCGCAGCGCTTCCCCAGGGTCTCCCATACAACCGGGCCGGGGACGACAACAGGCGGGTCAGGTCATCAGGGAAGGATCGGAAGGGAGTGCCAGCGAGGAACAGCGCAGAAGGTCTGCACCCTCCAAGAGGATAGCGCACAGGGCTCTTGCAAAGGGCGCACAGGGCGCAAGGAGGCACCGGTCGCGTAGCAGCCATCGGAGGGTGACTGACGTAGACGACAGGGCCCCCTGCGGGGTTGATCACACCCAGGGGCGGCATAGGGTGCCCCCTGTCAGGACGCGTGTCTGGAGGCAGCAGGAAGACAGTTCCATGAGCGGGAGTTCACCGGAGAGAGTGCAGGCTGCTGCACAGGCTCACGGCCCTCAGGGACGGACGGCTAGTGGGGAGATGGGTTACAGTTCGCAGGAAGAGAGGGGACAGGGCAGGGTTTCCAAGGCCAGCCTACCCATGATGTCTTCTCCTTGCAGGTCTCAAAGATGGTCACCCTCGGTGAGGGAGAGATCCCACGCGTTGAGGACATCGGGACGGTCGCCGCAGGCAAGGTGGACCCGGTTGCCGGACAGGCATCTTCAAGGTCGCCCGCGGATCAGGTGAGACCCAGCGCTGCAGGAATATGGCCCGAGCAGTGGAACGCTTGGGGCAGGACATCCACAGTCGGTCGGCAACCCCACGGCCTTCGGTGGCAAGGGGTGCGGAAGGTGAGACATTGTCATTGCAGCAGTCAGGGGAGCTTTTAGATGGCATCAAGCAGCTAATTGATTCTTGGGGTGTAGGAAAAAAGAGGGACGGGGATTGCAGTCAGGTTTGGGCTCAGCTGGGGGAGGTCACTGGGTTGAGTCCAGTGGTGGTTTCGGGGGCCGGGGCAGCACGGTTGGGGACGCGGGTACGACCCCCACGAGACGGACAATTTACTTTGGGGCGTCCCGGAGGCCACGCAGCAGAATGTACATGTTTCTTTCGCGGGCCCATTGGGCTGTCATCAAAAACTTGAGGTGAAGGAGAGGATCTGGAAAGGGGAGTTCGTGGAGCTCTTTTCGCTTCTCCCCCTGGAGGACTACATTGACCTCAAGGAGGAGGATAAAAAGGATGCTAAAAAAGAGGAGGAAAAGAAACAGTGGTATAGGAAGATCCCCAAGACGTTTGGGAATTGGTTGAGGGCGTTCTGCATCTTGGCCAGTGTGATGGGCGAAAAGGCGGCGGAGTGCTGCTTCACTGCTCTTTTGTTACCTGGATGGAATTTGGGAAGCGTATCACACGTACGGGGGTCTGGCATGGTGGCGATATGATGAGCAGTTTCGTCAGCGCCTGGCTGCTAATCTGGGGATGCGGTGGGACTAGATGGACCTACCACTCTGGATAAAACTTATGATGGCGCAGAAGGTGTCTCCCTTTCAGCCGGGGGCCGGCACGGGCGCTTCCCCCGCCGTGTCAGCCAACCAAAAACGGGGCTATTGTTGGCTATATAACGAGGGACAGTGCAAGTGGGGGGCCATGTGTTGCTTCAAGCATGAGTGCTCTGGTTGTGGAGGCACCCATGGACTCCACAGGTGCTTTAAAAAAGGTAAGTCAGCTACCGTGGCAGGGGTGCCTGGAGGTTCGGCCACGTCCCCTGCAACTGGGGGCAATGCCAGTGAGGGTCAGCACGATACTATCGTGGCTAAGTCACTACGCTAACCGGGAAGATGCATTGCTTGAGGAGGGGTTTACTAAAGGGTTCGTGATCCCATTTCAGGAACGGGTGGTGTCTCATGGTCTTCGCAACTTGAAGTCGGTGGGGGAATTTCCAGGGGTGGTTAGGGAGAAGTTTCTTAAGGAGGTCCAGTTGGGCAGGGTGGCGGGACCGTTCAGGGAGCCCCCTCTACCTAACTTGAGGGTGTCACCGCTGAGGGTGGTACCCAAGAAGGAACCGGGTAATTACCACCTGATACATCACGTGTCCTACCACAAGGGGTCGTCGGTTAAAGACGACATTGACAATGCCCTGTGTTCAGTGTCGTACGCTTCATTCGACCAGGCGGTGAATCTGGTGCAACGAGCAGGCTGGGGGGCATTGTTGGCAAAGGCGGACGTGGAAGCAGCTTTTCGCCTTTTGCCAATTCACCCGAAGTGCCATCACTTGCTGGGATGTCACTTCAACGGTGAGTATTACGTGGATCTATGTTTGCCCATGGGGTGCTCTATGTCGTGCGCGTACTTCGAAAAATTTAGCACATTTCTGGAATGGGTGGTGAAACTGGAAGCGGGCACTAAGATGGTGGTTCATTAGCTGGATGATTTCCTATGTGTCGGGCCTCCCGGATCGGAGGAATGCCACATGGGACTGAGGAGATTGGAATGGGTGGCGCACGTTATTGGAGTCCCCATGGCGAGTGACAAAATGGTGGGGCCTACAACATGCTTGAGTTTCTTGGGCTTGGAGATTGACTCGATCAAAGGGGAGTGTAGGCTGCCACAGGACAAGTTGCTGGCACTCCGGAAGGCAGTGGCGGAGGTGCGGGGAGCTAAGAAGGTCACACTCCGGGCTCTTCAGTCACTGCTGGGTCAGCTAAACTTCGCCTGTCGGGTGATTCCGGTCGGGAGGGTCTTTAACAGGTTCCTAGCTAGGGCGACGGAGGGGGTGGTGTTCCCGCACCACCTTATTCGGGTCTCAGCGGCTATGAAGGCCGATCTGGACGTCTGGGGGGAATTCTTACGGGATTTTAATGGGAAGGTGTTCTTTTGGGAACTGGTGGCGTATTCCCCGGAGCTGGGGGGGTGTCGCTTGAGGAGTCTAGCTCTGAGCTGTGGCGGGGGATGGAGAGTAAAGTTGGGGGGAGAAAAGAATGAGATGGGTTAAAAGTTTGCAGTTCAGGGCTTATAGGTAGGCCTTTGGACAGGTTTGGTAGGTTCGAACTCGTAGGTAGCTCCGAACCGGGGTGTATAGGGGTGTCTCGGTATGCCCTACACTTGTGGTGCCCTTTGGTGGCAATGGTCATGTTTCAATGTTAACTTAAAGGTTACAATGTTTGGGTATTATGTTATGTGGGAGTGGGTCATTGTCAGGGGTTTAAATTGTAAATTGCAGGATGGTAATTGTGCAGGCCAACGATGGCCTGCTGTTGACAATTACCTTTTTATTTTATGTTAAGAATCAATAAAGCTGTGATATGAATTTTGCCAAAACCATGGTGTCAGTGTTTTTATTGGAAATGGGTATTGGTGGGGTTTATGCATATGCCGACAAGGCGACCGTGCACATGTCAAGATCAACATTATTTTATCTAATGAATTAGCTATGGTACGTTTAGCTGGAAAATGAAGTTGACCAGTTAAGAATTCCATCACCATTTCCAAACAATCAATAACAATTAGAAGTAGCAAAAAAAAAGAAAAAAACAGCCAATCGGAGTCTGTGACTTGCAGAATAGCTCTCAGCATTACACTGTGCAGGAAACAGCATATGATTCTTTAAACTGTCTGATGATGCTTCATGCCACTGGTGCCAAAGGTTAGCTGAAAACCTTTTTATTTTATTTATTTATTATAAAAAAATCCACATATTAAAAATGACCAAGGCAAGATGTAGACCATTTTAAAAAATGATATATAACAGTGCACTAGAGGATATCTAATGGCAGAGGCACTTTAGAAACCAATTTTTTTAATCTTCTAATAGTGGGGAAGGTTGCAGATTCCATTTAGCCATTCTCATTTTGCTTCAATAACAATACATTTCTGACCCTACAGTGTTAAAAACACTATTTAAGTCCCTGCCTTCCCTTACCCCCTTAAATTGTGTTAAAACTTACCTTATTTCTAGTGCCTTGCGGGACTGCTCCGCCCCTTGCTCCACCCCTGACCCGCGTCCTTGATGATCACAAGGAAAGCATTGGGTTGGCTGAGATAGTCAATTCTGATGATCTCAGCGAAGGAGCGAGTCAGGGGCGGAGCGAAACGCAGCCCTGGCAAATCAATGCATCTCTATGGAGAAAGCTCAGCATCTCCACGAAAGCACCTCTAGTGACCAAGTGAGTGACTGCCACTGGAGGTGACACTAGAGAGTAATGTAAACACTGCATTTTCTCTGAAAATACAGTATTTACAGCAAAATGCCTGCAGGGACAGGATACAAAAACCAGTGTAACTACATTAAGTTGTAGTTGTTCTGATGACTACCGTATACGTTTAAAATGTTAGAAAAAAAAAAAAGCTATATGTAACTTGAGTTGTTTTGTTTTATTTCCTCATGTTTCCCTTTCATCACATACAAAATCGTAAATGCAGTCAAACTATCATCTGATGATATGGAATGTTATAGAACACATAAATAAAGAAATATAAAACAAATAAATCCACTTTTTATATCACTTTTCTTTTCTGCATATTTCTATGTGTACTTCAGTTTTTTTCAGAATGCCAAATTTCCAAACTATTTTTTGTTAAACCACAAAATACTACGGCATTTTACTGAGTTTACCTGTTTTGGTAACTGAATTTTATTTATTAACATAGCGTGGAAAGACTGTGTGCTGGGAACAATTCATCATACTTGGCAATTATTAGCCAAGACCTCTTAATTAAACTTTAATACATCTGTGTGAACCTGTTAAATGTGATGTATTTCATGGCACTTTATAACTGTGCTGGCATAAGCAAAGAACAGAAAGCACTTGGCTGGAAATGCAAGATTTCAACTTTGGTACAGCTAAAGTATTAACAAGCTTCTGTGGGATATAGGAAATTAACCACTTTAAATTGAATTAGTTATAATATATGCATAATATACTATTTTAAAGTACGTCTTTCAAAGTAATGAAAATATGTTATTCACATAATACACTGTATTATTT